CTTTAATTACTTTTAATTATACTTTATGAAATGTAAAAACTTCTAAACAACAATTCTCTATTTTGAAATGTCAAATGCTAAATAAGTTCATCGAGGTATACTTTTTTATTTCACATAAGATCTTCCATAAATTACTTTATCTATGATACGTAGAATTTTATTGTATATTATAAATTACAACGTTTAATGCTAAATATGATTATGTACATGAAATCAATAGTTAAAGAAGAAATGCATAGTTTCAGAAAACAATGTCGGACATTATTGGACTGCATTTTTAGGAAAATAGTCTCGGCCATGACCATAGTTTTCGTTGAATCTTTCGGACATGTTCTGCACATTATTGGATTACATTTCTGTCAGCCTTCACACCATAGCTTCCACCCCTTACACCAGGGCGGCTTTTGAGATCCTACACCGGGTGAAATACACCGGGTAGATCTTTTCCATTCATATACACACAAACACACACACACCCACATTGGTGTGTGTAGATCAACGGTTAAAAATCACCCGGTGTAACCTTCACCGGGTGTAGGATAGAAATAACCCAGCAGGGCCCACAATGTCACTAATACTTTCATAATTGTGTGGAAATGTGAATCTCAAGTTATTACCAATTTTCATATAATATGGAGCATAACTATGAAAAAAAAAAGAGCTAATTGCATAGAACCCTCTGTGGAATCTGGAATGGCTAAAAAACCCCTCATGTTAAAAATATTAGCATAGACCCCCCTATATTATTTTTGACAAAGCACACTACCCTTTATTTCGAAATTAACAGTTGACTTATAGGAAATGACAAAATTAACCCTCATATTATAATAATTTATGTTTCAATTATAAATAAATAAAAATGCAAAATGAATATAATTAGAAAAAATCCAAAAAGAAAAAAGAAAGAAAAAAAAAAAAAAAAACCCATGGCCAGCATCTCCTCCCCCAACCCAAAATTCTTCCATCCGCATCACCACCTCACCACCACGGCCGCACCACCTACCTTCCCACCCAGAAAAAAAAATTATGTTTTATGTTTGATGGGTTCTTCCAGATTTCTTTTGAATCAAAATTTTTGGATCGCCACCCTATTCTTCTCATCTCTTCGTCGGCGGTGGGTTTGCAGGCGGCATCATGCGGGCCGGATGAATCATCCATGGCGGATCGGCCCTCTCTCTCTCTCTCTCTCTCTCTCTCTCTCTCTCTCTCTCTCTCTCTCTCTCTCTCTCTCTCTCTCTCTCTCTCTCTCTCTCTCATACACACAAGGCGAGGAACATATCTGAAGAAGGAGACGGAGAAAGAAGTTGAGATTTTGAGAAATTATGAAAATTGCAATTTGGTCCTATACAATTTGGAGAGAGGGCTTTTCTGAAATTATTAGGGATTGAATTGAAAATTCTGAAAACTTCATTATGAATAATACTGGATAAATTTATAAATTAAAAAAAAAAAGTACATTTCAAGGGTATTTTAGTTCCAAAATCAGACGGTCAGTCGCACAAAGCGCGAGTGTGTAACACATCAAGCTCATAGGGTCTTTTTTGGCTTTGACTATTTTTCGCAGGGGGTTTTTTGCTAATATTTTTAACACGAGGGGTTTTTCAGCTATTCAAGATTACATAGGGGTAGTTTTTGCAAAAAAACCCGAAAAAAAATACAGTAGAGGAAGCATTTACCCTTGGATTTGAGGTACCAAATCTTCCATCAAATTGAGTAGGTGGAATATTCGAAGATCCACCTTGAACCATTAATGGTGCATTATTGCCACAAAATTCAGCAAATAATTGATCACTGGGGCCTTGGATATTAGTATTATCCAAACCATGAGCATATGAATTTGCCAAACTTGTAGCATCTTGAATTTTAGTTTCAAAACTTTGTTTGAAATTCATGATGGACCTCTTCAATTCGTCCAATTGTTGATAATTTAGGTCATCGATATTTGTCGGGCACCATCTATGGCATTGGGGAGTCATCCTCAAGTTTTCGTTCGCTTTCCTCCGTTCCTTTTCTTGTTTTAGTTGCGCCTCCCATCTACCGACCTCCTGATTACGATGGTACATGATAGCATCACCTTGAGCCGCCCTTTGTAGTTGGTGGGCTTCGTTTCTCGAATTCGGGTTACGATTAGGGTTGAAAAACCTGTCAACAACCGTTTTGACACTAGGGTTTCCATATGAGTGTGGCTTTTCTCTTGGGGAGAAAACAACCACTGCACTCTCGGCGCCACATAGGGTGCTGAGTTCGCTGGCCTTTTTGAAAAGCCCAGCTCGCCTTTTCTGGCGGCCTTTTCCTTTTCTTTGAGGGTTAGGGTTATTCTCGGATGAGTTATATATTCTGGTTTGATGAACTCATTTTCTTTAGAGAAAAGTAAGAATGTTTGATAAAATAATCAAAAGAAAAACGATAAACCTAAAGAAGCGAAAAAATGTCATAATGCACACGAAGGCCAACGAAAACATTTGTGGTTTTAGCCATGCAAGGAACAAGTACTTATATAAGAGGAGATACATGCCACATGAATATTTTCTTTCTTTTACATTAAATGTTGATATAAGTTACAAATCTGGTTTAGTCTATTTGTGATTCATCGATTAGTCCATTATTTAATTTTGCTAGGTTTTGGATGCATATGAACTTTGCATATATCAGTATTTTTATATTAACAATAATGATTTGTCGCCTAAAAATTGTAAATAAACACAAAGGAAATGTAATCACCATATATTTTGTTGATTTTGTATAATTATAATGTCACTTTTATGTTACATAAAATCCATGGATACAATAGAGTAATTAATTTTGCCACAGAAAAATGAATCGTTATAAAGATTAGGTAGTCATCTCATTATTAAGAATCGTCATTCGAGATTTTTCTCATATACATGAGAATCAAGGATCGAGATTATCAAAAATCATATATAGACGACATCATAACTATACATTAACACCATTACATTCCCTTATTACAAATAAAAAAAAATATTTTTGCGATACTTTTACAACTTAAATTAAAGATTTTGAATAAATGTTATTGGTTAAAAACGTACACGCAAGTATATTTATCCCATGCAAGTAGTAATAGTGGACTCTTAGCGGGTCGGGATTGTCAAACTCACAAGGAGAAAATATTTTTTCTCTAAGTACTCGGTCACTAACAATGTGGTTTTATCCAAGTAATATTGAATTGGTTGGTTTATTTTTCTAAAGCATAAACTAGTAAGAATAATTCCTATATAAAACGAGTCTACGATTTTGTTTTCACCTTATGTTTCGGTTTATCCCTATGTTTCTCCTTATGCATTCATTGACTAAGTGTCCTTGTCGAAACACCACTCCTCGTCAATAGTAGTGTGATGACGTGCGATCTGAGCAATAAGGCCTAATACAATTGGCATATTGGTAGTAGGTTATTGCATGAACATTTAAGTTTCGGTTCTAATCTAGAGATTGACTATCGATGATATATATCACACTCTATGTACTATCATACATGTTAGTTATATGTATTCGACATCACATGTCCTGAGATTCATATACTTTCAGGTCAATTCCGAATAATTAATTGCGAGATAATTACAAAAGAATTCACATAACATAGAGTGATTAATTCTATGTATACACTCAATCCAAGCATATGAAAAAACTGAATTCAACTCATTAGCATGATATATATATATATATATATAGGATTCCATAAAATTCTAGACTAATACATATATATATATATATATATATATATATATATATATATATATATATATATATATATATATATATATATATATATATATATATATATATATATATATATATATATATATATATATATATATATATATATATATATATATATATATATATATATATATATATATATATATATATATATATATATATATATTGAAGCATCTCTGCGTGGAATTATTGTCACTCCGACTACGCTTCAATCCTTCATGTTTTTGCTTCATCTCGTATCTCCAAGTCACCGTGGAAGAATCCACGAGTTTTCTGCTCTAAACTAGGGTTATTAGCCCCCTTTAACTTTTTCCATCTATTTCTTGTGGCTCTCTTCCGAAAATTTGACATAAAACATGTATTTGTACAAGTCAACATTGAAAGAATTTATGGTCCCGAATTCGTTTAATACAGAGGTGTTGTTGAAGGTGTTATGACACTTGAACAAACAAGCAGCGGAAATATAAAGACAAAAGAACAATACTCAGAATTAAAAATGTTCACAAGTAAAGACTTGTGAACTTGCCCTTTACAGGACGAAAAATATATTAAAATCAGTATTCCAAGAATACAAACAGAAGAGTGCGAAAACTTCTTCCTTATGAGTGAATCTTTTTCAAGATCACTCTTACAACCAAATCTAGATACTAAAAGAAAGATATCAAAAATTCTAGATTTCAAAGAATGTACTTATAAATAGTACGTACAACAGATCCTAGAAAACACACTAAAATTCTCGAGATTAAAACTTCAGCTCTCTATTTTGTTTTCTCGAAATCTGTAATAATCTTGAGTCTTGAGTTTGATATTTATAGACTTGCCAAGCTTCCACTCTTCAGCCCATGATCTGCAAGAAAACCAACCACAAGAGCACTCAAGATAATGGGTTAGTGGGTTAGTTAGGAAGTTAAGATAAATCCCATAATTAAATCCACTAAGCACTACTTAACCCTACTAAGCCCACTAACTAAGATTTAGTTTAGAAGTTAAGAAAAGTTAAAAACACATTGTGAAATTAATTCACGTGTTTCAAACTCCCCCTTTTTAACTTTCTGATCAAAACTAAATCTTAGTCAAAGACTCCCCCTGAGATATTGCTTGAACTCCCCCTGAATTTGATACCATTTGAAAAACATAGAAACAATAAATTAAAACCAAATTCAGCAAGATAGTCCAACAAAAGAAATAATCAAAGTGCAGTCCTAAACAAAAGTTCAGAGGGAAAATAAACAAAACACAAAAATATTGTTCATGAAAACAATCTAAAGTAAAATATCCAAAGTCTCCAAGGTCTCCTCAGTTTCAGCTGCTGCTCCTCCTCCATCACTAGATCCACTGCTTTCTTCTTGAGCTTCCCCCTCTTTCTTTGCTTCCTCTTCATTGACTCCTTGCTCTCTTCCTCTAACATCCAAAGGATGAGATGTTCCTGCTTCAGTTTCATGATCTTTTTCTCCCCCTTTTTGATCAGAAAGAGCCTTCTGAATCATGTCCACCATGGACTGATGATAGGTAATCTGAGCTAGAGAATGAGTAAGCTGCTGCAATAGAAGATCTCTAGGAACAGACACAAGAAGGTTAGAAGTGTTGTCAACATGAGGTGCAACACCCTCAGTACCAATGTTATTTTGACCTGATTCAGTTGAGAGAAAATCATCTCCATTCCAGGGAAGATCTTGAACATGAGGAGCCCTCAGAAAATTTTGAGACACAGTGATCATGCCTTGTGGGGTGTGAAGATATTCAGAGTCATCTTGGCCCAAGTTTTGAGAGAGTAAGATGGAATAGATGAGAGAAGGATAGGGGAGGTGAGTGGAGGGTGAAATTTTCTGGGCAAGATGACCAATAGTATCAAAGAACAGTTTGCCAAAATCCACTGGTAAACCCATCCCCAATTTGTACATGAGTACAGCATGAGGCTTAGTTACCACAGAGACATTTTTGGATGGAATCCAATTAGCCACTGTGAGTCTAAACAGGACAGAGTAGAAAGCAGTGAGTTGAGAGACTTGAAATTTTCTTGGGTGTGCAGGCCAATTTCTTAAACGGTTTCCAGAAATAACTTTGCAAATCTCAGTAAAATCACCATAATTATCCTCATCAATCACAGTAGGAGTTTGTAAATGAGAGTTGATAACTTTGGGAGAAAAGGAATAAATGGCATTGCGCACAAAAACTTTGCCAAAGTTTGGAGAGTTTTTCTTTAAAAAAGAGGTTTGCAAATTGGCATAAAACTCTTTCACAACCAAGGGATCATAAGAGCAGGCAATCTCAACTAGGTTAAGGATTTTTCTTTGGTGAAGAAAAGCTGTTATCCTATGCCTATCAAATTCTTCCTTAGAAATTTTCTTTTCCTCAATGAAATGACAATTCATGACTTGAGGACTCAACAATGAATCAGACTCAAAATAGAAATTAGGACTGAAGGCATTTGTTACCTCAAAAGGGATTGACAAGTTCTTCCCATCCAGGTCTGGTTCTTCTTCTTCTGAGGAATCATCATCTTCTGAATCTTCAAGCTCATCAGGGACATATGCTGGTTCAGGTGATGCAGCACGTGGGGCAAACACCTTCTTCCTGCTGAGAAGAGTCTTCAGAGGATTCACTGTCGGAATCAGAAGAGGACAAGTTTTTGCGAAAAGTGGCTAGTGGAACCTCCCAACTGTCTTCACTTTTCTCTGATTCTTCAGCCTGAGGAGGAATTGTATCTGCTTGAGCTGCTGCTTCTGCCAGGGTTTCCAGAGGATCTCCCTGAGGTGCTGATGGAGTTTCTTCTGTACTGGTGAACTCCTGAGCATCGACATTCCAGAGAAATCAGGCATTTCTTCATCCTGATAAGGGGCAGCATCCTCAGCAGCATTCTGAGGAACATTTGCTGAAACAGTAGGTGCAGCAGCATCTTCTGGAGCATGTGCAGCAACACCTTCAGAGACAGGTGCAGCAACACCTTCTGAACCAGGTGCAGCAACACCTTCTGAAACAGGTGCAGCAACACCTTCTGAAACAGGTGCAGCAACACCTTCAGGAACAGAATGTTGAGAGGCTGCTGTTGCCATGCTGGGCTGCGACGTCTCCCCCTGAGTTGATGCTGGGGAAGGTGAGTTGTTGGATGAAGACTCAGAGGAGCTGGAGGACAAGGCTTGAGCCTGTGGTGCAGCAAAGGTAGGATCCCCTGCTTCGTCATCAGTTTCTTCATCTACCAGATGAAGACCTCTTCGTGGGTTTGACTGGACTGGAGTGCGGCCACCTCTGCTTCCTCTTCTTCCACCTCTGCTTCCTCTCCGGGGAGAGTTTTCTCCTCTTCGGCGTTGAGGCACCGCAGTGTTCAGATCTGGAAAAGGGTTCGTGCGCTTTGACCGGCGCGTTGGAAATCTTCCGGCGGTGGAAGAGGGACCCACAACATCAAAGTTGTCTGGGTCAATCGGGTTCAGCTCGTCGCCGGGCTCAATGTAGCTGATAGGAACAACTTCAAAGTTGATTGGATGAACAATGATGGCCAGATTTGGGTCTGCTGGTATAGGTGCTGCAGCAGAGGAGGATTTCTAGGTGGGGATGCCATGATACAGTAGATAAAGTAAAATTGCTTCTTTGTGCTTTTGATTTTTGAGTGTGAATTTTGTGAGAAGAAGCACGAAATTTATAAGCCCTAATTTTTGCTGAAGAAGAAAGAAAAAAAAAATTGAAGTGGAGAAGGTGAAGAAGTGGTGTCCGTTTTTCTTGGGGAGAGTGTGATTAAGGAGAATAAAATTTCCTTGGCAGTTTAAAATAAAAACGTGACACATGGCACAATAAGGAGTGGACTTAGTGGAAAATAAGGAATTAACCCATGTACCCATGACCCATATAAATAGGGATAATTAAAATGAAAAGAGAAAAAATCAATAAAACCGTAGCACTCAAGAAATATTCACAAATAATAGAAAAATACATTTATTAGTGATTAATAGTGAGAAAAATTTGCTGACAGGCATAGATACTATTATATATTTATATATTTATTATTATACATATATATATATATATATATATATATATATTTTTTTTATTTTTTTTTTTATTTTTTTTTTTTTTATAATAATATATATATATATATATAAACTCTTATTTTCAAGTCAAACAATTCACATGGAACATGATCAAGTGTTCAGTTTGAAGGTTCCTCAGTTACTAAGATATGACTATCAAAATAGAGGAGTTTGACTTATGTGAGTGTAATTATTTGTCTAAATGTTTACATGAAGCATGATCACGTTTCAAGGTGAAAGGCTTCCAGTTACTGATTTAGAAAATAATACATCACAGTGAAGTCATTATTTAATGAAGCTAATGCTTCAGTAAATTGTGTTGCAGCTTAAGATATTTGATGAGGTGCTGCAACACGTTTCAGGACATGTTTATTGAGTACACATTCCGAGAGATTTTCTGAGTTTTGAAAACCTCTCATAATCTAATGCCTTTGTAAAGATGTCAGCCAGCTGATCTTCTGTAGGAATGTACTTTAAGCACACTATATTTTTCTCAACTATATCACGAATAAAATGATGTTTAATATCTATGTGTTTAGTTCGTGAGTGTTGAACGGGATTTTTTGAAATGTCAATAGCACTTGAATTATCACAATATATGGTCAGGGTATCACTGGTTAACCCATAATCTCCCAACATTTGTTTCATCCAAATTAGTTGACCACAACACCCTCCAGCAGCTACATATTCTGATTCAGCTGTTGAAAGAGATACACAGTTTTGCTTTCTACTAAACCAAGAAACTAGATTATTCCCCAAAAAGAAACATGCACCTGATGTGCTTTTTCTGTCACTAATATCCCCAGCCCAATCAGAATCACTAAAGCCTATCAAGTTTGTATTTGTGTCTTTGAAAAACTGAATCCCTAAGTCTACTGTACCTGCAACATACCTAATAATCCTCTTCACAGCTTTAAGATGGGTGACCTTGGGATTTGCTTGATATCTGGCACACACACAAACACTAAACATAATGTCAGGCCTGCTTGCTGTTAGATACAGAAGACTTCCAATCATGCTTCTGTAGAGAGTGCTGTCAACATCTTCTGCAACATCATCCTTGGACAGTTTTTGGCTGGATCCCATTGGAGTTTTCATGTGCTTGGCTGATTCCAAATCAAACCTTTTAACCAGATTGAGAGCATACTTCTTCTGATTAACAAACATTCCTTCACCTGTCTGTTTTATTTGGAGTCCTAAGAAGTAATTCAACTCCCCTACCATACTCATTTCAAAAGTGTGAGACATTGAATCTACAAAAGACTGTAAAAGGTTAGCACAAGTAGAGCCAAAAACAATGTCATCAACATATATCTGAACAATAATGATATGATTATTAGTTCTTCTAACAAATAGGGTTCTGTCTGCCTCCCCTCTATTGAACTGTATTTCAAGTAAGAAGTCAGTGAGTCTTTGATACCATGCTCTAGGAGCTTGTTTAAGACCATACAGTGCCTTCTTAAGCTTGAAAACATGATTAGGCTTGGCAGAATCTTCAAAACCCTTTGGCTGTTCAACATATGCTTCCTCATTTAAAACCCCATTCAGAAATGCACTTTTGATATCCATCTGATACAGTTTGATTTTAAGAAAGCAGGCTATAGCAAGAAGTAATCTAATTGATTCAATTCTAGCTACTGGAGCAAAAGTCTCATCAAAGTCTATACCCTCAATTTGAGTGTATCCTTGTGCTACTAACCTAGCCTTATTTCTAACAACTGTACCTTTTTCATCAGTTTTGTTTTTGAAGATCCACTTAGTCCCTATCACATTTACATGGCTTGGTCTGGGAACTAAGTACCACACATCATTTCTGATGAATTGATTCAACTCTTCATGCATTGCATTTACCCAGAATTCATCCTTCAGAGCTTCTGCAATATTCCTGGGTTCCACTGAAGACACAAAACAAGTGGTTCCAGTTAGTGCACATTCAGAAGATAAATTAGCAAATCTTACCATATCTCTGTAGTTCACTCTCTCTTTTCTTCTGGTTCTTATTCCACCAAAGATATCACCCACTACTTGAGTTGATGGGTGATTTTTCTGGATTCTGCTTGATGGTTCCTTTCTGCAGACATCTAGGGTTGGTTGCAACTCAGTCTCTGTAGGATGTGTTGAGTCAGATGTGGTGACACTTGGCTCAGCACCTTCTTCTCTTGAGACTGGACTGTTTGTGTCTGGGCTTTCTGTGGCAGAAGTGTCTTCTTCTGTTGTTTCCCTTTCAGCAATCAAGTCATCAACTTCATCTTCAGCTGTTTTACTGCGGAGATCAGCAAAGTCATCAAATACCACATTTACAGATTCAATAATGGTTCGAGTTCTTAGATTGTATACTCTATAAGCATGACTGTTATTAGAGTATCCCATAAACAAGCTCAAATCACTTTTTGAATCAAATTTAGCTAGATGATCTCTATCATTTAGAACATAGCAGACACACCCAAACACATGCATGTATTCTAGATTAGGTTTCTTACCATAAAGAATTTCATATGAAGTCATCATAGATCCTAATCTTAGATACACACGGTTTGAGATGTGACAGGCTGTGTTGACAGCCTCAGCCCAAAACCTTTTAGACAAATTTTTTGCACTCATCATCACCCTAGCCATTTCCTGAATAGTTCTGTTTTTCCTTTCAGCAATGCCATTTTGCTGAGGAGTTTTTGGAGCAGAAAATTCATGTTTTATTCCCTTTTTATTACAAAAAGCAAAAAATAAAGCATTCTCAAATTCTTTTCCATGATCAGATCTTATCCTACGAACAGAAACTTGAAATTGAGTTCTAACAAACCTGTACAAATTTTTGAAAACTTCAAAGGTGTCTGATTTTTCTCTCAAAAAATACACCCAAGTATATCTTGAAAAATCATCAACACATACAAAGACATATTTTTTACCACCTAGACTTTCTACCTCTATAGGACCCATAAGATCCATATGTACAAGTTCAAAACAAATAGTGGTACCAACGTGTTGCAACACTTTGTGTGGTACTCTGGTTTGCTTTCCCTTCTGGCACATTCCACATATAGGAATATCCTTGATCTTGAGATCTGGTACTCCTCTTATGGCATTGTACTTGTTGAGAAGCTTCAGATTCTTGAAGTTTGTATGTCCTAGTTTCTGGTGCCACAGCTCTACTTCACTTACTCTTGAACTCTTGCATGAGATGGTGTCACCTGTTTGATAGCAATTATCCATTGATCTGGAACCTGTAAGTACACAATGATTTTGATTATCAAACACAGAACAACAGTATTTATCAAATTCTACCCGTAGATCATCATCACACAATTGACTGATACTAATGAGATTTGACCCCAATCCTTCAACATGTAACACATTTGAGAGTTTTGGAAGCCCCTCAATACTGAGTGTTCCACGTCCAACCACTTTGCCTTTAGCTCCTCCTCCATAGGTTACACGTCCTCCATTAAGTATGTGGTAGTTTGATAGATATTCCTTTAGTCCAGTCATGTGCCTGGAGCATCCACTATCAAAGTACCATGAACCTGAAATGTTAGCATTTAAAGAGGTGTACACTGCTTTGCACAAAAATTTACCTTTGGGAGTCCATATTTTACACTCCTTTTTGGTAGATTCTACCTTTTTCTTTGAAATGTTCCTTGAAGTGTTGTGGCTTATTTTATACAACATTTTGTCACTGCTGAGTTTTTCACAAAATGGACGAATGTGTCCTGGTGAGAAACAGTAATGACAAACATAACCTCTTATTCTGGAATCTGGAGTGGTGACTGTGGACTTCCTGCAATCCTTTCTGTTTGCACCCTTCTCTTTTACAAAGACAATTTCTTTCTTCTTAACTGGCTTCATTTGTTTTTTGAAACCTAGCCCTTCATGTTTGTAGTGCTTCTCCATTGACACAATCTCTTCGAGCTTAGTTGTGCCAGTGTTCATCCTCTTGATTGCTAGAGTTGCCTTTTTGAGTTCTTCTTTCACTTTTGCCAGTTCAAGATCCTTCTTGGTGATTCCAACCTCCAAATGTGTGATTGTTTCTTTGAGGGAGGAATTTTCTTTGTTGGCTGCATCTGGAGCTTGAGTCTTATTCTCCAAGTTTCTGATCAGCTTTTTATACATTTCTTCATCATCACTGACTGCTTCATTACTGGATTCTGCTGCATTCACAGAAATAGAGTTTAAACATGTATATTGATCAGTATTTAACTCACAAATTGAAAGTGTTTCAGAAAGTGTTGCAGCATCCAGGGAGACTCTTTGGGATTCTGTTTCAGTGGAACTTCCGGTAAGATATCTGACAGAAAGAGCTTGTTTAGAGGATTGCTGTTCCTCTGTCTGTTCAGGTTGTTCTTCCTCCTCATCACTGACAGCACAAATCAAACTCATTCCTCTCCTTCTCAAGGTATTTGCACATTCATTAGCATAATGTCCAAATCCTGAACAGGCCCTGCATTTAATATGATCCAAGTTAGGTGGTTCAGAATTTGAACGAATAAAAGAAGAATTTTTTAAATTGTTTTGAGAAGGTGTTTGAGGAAATGTTCTCTGTGGAATAGATCTGTTCCGGGGCTGAGTTTGTCGATTTTGTGGAGACCCTTCTGAGAATAACTGCCTGGGCTTGATTCCACTTCGTCTGAACGCCCTATTGAATTTCTGAATCTGAAATGCCACATTATTGAGGCATTCTTCTGCATCATCATCATATTCCGGAGCAACATCTTCCTTCTCTAATTCTGCCTGGAGTGCATTTGAGATAGCCTTTCCCTTCTCCTTTCTTTGATCTTCGAAGTTCATCTCTCTGGACTTGAGACTTCCTATTAATTCGTCCAGCCGTAGAGATGATGTATCTTTAGCCTCCTCAATAGCAGTAACCGTCATGCTGAACCTTTCTGGAAGAGTTCTCAATACCTTATTCACTAGTGTCTCGTTGCTCAAAGGACCACCTAAGGATTGAAATTCATTAGCCAAGTCAATCAGCTTCTCATTGTACTGAGAAATTGTTTCAGTTTCCTCCATTCTCAGTCTCTCAAATTTGGAAGAGAGTAATCTGAGCTTGGTTCTTTTGACACTATCTGATCCCTCACAATGTAGCTGAAGAATTTCCCAAGCATCCTTTGTAGAAGTGCATACAGAGATTAATTTAAACATTGTTAAATCTACTGAATTGAAAATTGCATTTAACGCCTTTGAGTTTTGATTAGCATTTGATAGATCGTCTGGTGTCCACCGTAATTCTGGAGTTGGAAAAACATCTCCGTCCACATCTGTGATAGTTGGTGGCTTCCATCCAGTGAGAATAGATCTCCATGCTCTCTCATCAATGGCTTTGATGTACGCCCTCATCTTGACTTTCCAGTAGGTGTAGTTCGTGCCATCAAGTACAGGAGGTCGCATAGAAGCAGTCATCTGAGTATCCATCACGAATTCGTTTCTGTAAGAAAAATAGGAACAAACACTTAGTATACGTCAAGTGTTGGCTCTTGATGCCAATTGAAAGAATTTATGGTCCCGAATTCGTTTAATACAGAGGTGTTGTTGAAGGTGTTATGACACTTGAACAAACAAGCAGCGGAAATATAAAGACAAAAGAACAATACTCAGAATTAAAAATGTTCACAAGTAAAGACTTGTGAACTTGCCCTTTACAGGACGAAAAATATATTAAAATCAGTATTCCAAGAATACAAACAGAAGAGTGCGAAAACTTCTTCCTTATGAGTGAATCTTTTTCAAGATCACTCTTACAACCAAATCTAGATACTAAAAGAAAGATATCAAAAATTCTAGATTTCAAAGAATGTACTTATAAATAGTACGTACAACAGATCCTAGAAAACACACTAAAATTCTCGAGATTAAAACTTCAGCTCTCTATTTTGTTTTCTCGAAATCTGTAATAATCTTGAGTCTTGAGTTTGATATTTATAGACTTGCCAAGCTTCCACTCTTCAGCCCATGATCTGCAAGAAAACCAACCACAAGAGCACTCAAGATAATGGGTTAGTGGGTTAGTTAGGAAGTTAAGATAAATCCCATAATTAAATCCACTAAGCACTACTTAACCCTACTAAGCCCACTAACTAAGATTTAGTTTAGAAGTTAAGAAAAGTTAAAAACACATTGTGAAATTAATTCACGTGTTTCAAACATCTTCACCGATCGTTAATAGCTCCCGATCGATCGGTGGTATGAACTTTAGGGTTTTGTCTGAAGGAATGGCGAGCGATCAGTATAGACGAACCGATCGATCGATGAGTTTATTTTAGTTGATCTTTGCTTTCTTGTAACTTCTTCACCAAGTCTCGCGCCTATTGCCTTGTTCTTCGCGTTATTCAACCTAAATTGTCCCCATTTTGCCCAGTACGCCTTCTAATTATAGTATTGCCATAAAACATGTAACTGCAAATTGCATGAATCTCCTAAATGCAATTATAACGTTAGACTAGCAAAAATGCACATAAACGATTGGCAATTACTCAATTCTTAGCTTAAATAGTTGACTAAGTGTTCATTCTAACACTCAGTACACTCCCAAACTTGAATCGTTGGTCGTCTTCGAGCCATGGATAATACATGGAAACAAAAAAAAAATCAACAAAAAGAAAATATGTTGACCATCTAGGATTCTCTAAACCCATTTTCGTTACCACTACCTTCAAATCAATGTAAGCGTTCGAGATTCTCCACATTCTCCAAAATTCATGTGCTCATCGTCAAGCAAGAACCTAGAAAGTTGTCATCATCCTCATCAATTATAAGTATCATTAATATTAAATTCGGAAAATGCTTATACTTACACATCACTCAACTTTATAGCTCGATACAAACCCTCTTTGACTAGTGTAAAATCACAGCCTCTTTAATTGCCGAAAAAACTTCCTCTTCATCAGGGATTTTACAGAGCTATACATTCATTTCCAAAGTGACTTTGGCCTCCACGTGATCAAAAAGAGTGTTATCCAAATGGTATGGAGATGCTCGAAAGAGTTCAGAGAAGTATGCAACCCCTTTCTCTCCAATAATTCGACTCTCTGAGATGAAAGATCCATAGTGTTCCGTTTTCTTCGATCTTTAATCCTAGCATGGAAATAACTAGTATTATGATTCCCCCTCCTTGAACCACTTAATCCTGGCTTTGCTGATTAACAAATTCCTGTCCCATTTGAGTTGCTAATGTAGGGTTTTCTTAACAGCTTGGCATTCTGTGAACGTGATCTCATCCCATGCATGGGAGAGACGATTCTCCAACTCCTCAATTCTACGTTGCATGTTTGAGATATTAACATCCATCCGCCGAAAAGAATCCCAATTCCATTTACTAAGTGCCTTACAGAGTCGAGCTAATTTACTCTCAAATGAGTTTCTGCTAACTCCCTCATCCGACTGCCAAATATTGGAGACTAGAGAATCGAATTCTCGGTGATCCATCCACATCTTTGGAAAATAAAAACGAGATTTACAAGGCTGTAACTGACCAAATTTGATGAGAAGCAGGCGGTGGTCGGATTCCAGCCTCGGCAGATGAAGAACGTTGAAATTGCAAGTAGCCACTTATAAAATTTGGAACTTTTGTTATTTTCAATTGAATTAGAAAACAAAGTATGAATTTGTTAATGTATTTCTTAACTAATAAAATTAGATTCTACCATATTTGGCAAAAATTAACAATGTAACGAGATATTTATACATTTTATAAATGTAATTATATTATTTTGATAGAATAGAGGATGCATGATACATAATTAATCTGTCTAGTTCATACATAAGAATACACACATTTTTGTTGGTATGTATATGAACAGTAAAGATCGATCTATCCTTGTACAGTGTAGCATATAAAGCTTCACTCCCGAGTTTCTATCAAAATTTGACGAAGCCAAATGAAATGGATTCAAAAATCACGGAGTTGCGAAAGATTCCTCCATTGCCTCTTCTGTAATTGGACCTAATCTCATAACGGTGTGGATGCAATTTACCCTGAAAACACATATGTTCGTAGAAAAAAATCAACGACAACTGAAATTGACAAAGTACGAGATAAAAAAATGACGAACAAATTAAAATAATCGAGTATCGAATTTAATGAATCCCGATACGAGAGCTTAATTCCTAGCACATGGCGATACGAGAGCTTAATTCCTAGCACACATGAAACCTGAGAGAGGGTAGTGATATCACACCGGGACATTCTCTTCGGTTTGTAATAAAGATCACTCAGGATAATAATGCTTTTATATGCACATTTTTACTTTAGTAATTCAAGATTATATGCGCTATAAACATCATGTAAGAAACTCCAAATACGAAGACACATGCGTAACAAAATCAAGAAAACATGAATCTATAAATTCCAAATTCTAAAACCGAGAAGCCCAGAGAATATACCTTCTGAACGCACGTACCCAACATACATCACCTCCACACAAATTTCGAAAAATATCGAAGATTCTGAAACGGCAGTTTTGATTGTATTTTCTTGATCTCGTAGCGTGACGGGTCAATTTTCAATATTAACCTAACTATATATATAAATATACGCCACCTCACCAGTAATCTCTACACGAGCATGCTCCATCAATGAAATGATGGAAACGGTTAGTATCCCTCACAATAATTTCTCTACCCGTTATCTTCGAAATAAGCTTAATCGCCGTATGGCAATCGCCACAAACCCTAAGGTTCTTAACTATACGAATAACGACGTCCGATTTCAAAGTAATAAGCCCAAACGCAAGAGCAATCTTCTCACTGTGACACCCCAAGAAATGCTCCTTCTCCTCCTCTTCGATATCAAACAGCACAAACTCCGTCGTCGGCACGTAACCAACTTCTCTCAACTCCTTCGCCAGCTCAGCGAGCTTTAAATATATTTTATCCTTCATTGGATGCGAAGTATCTCCCACAAGAAACTCGTGCACAATCCCATTAACCTCAATCCAGCTATAACCGCGCACCTTCGTAATTCCTTTGAGGTTCATAATCGACCTAATATTCTCCGAGTCATCCCATTTCTGATTGGCCGAGTAAATATTCGACAAAAGAACGTAATTTCCGGAATTCCACGGTTCTAACTCGATCAACTTCTTTAAAACATGTTCCGCCAAATGGGTATTTCTATGCAAACGACACCCACCCAATAAAGCCCCCCAAACTACTGCATTAGCCTTCAGCGGCATAGTCGAGATTATTCGATGGGCTTCGTCTAACAAACCAGCTCTTGCAAGAAGGTCAACCATGCTTCCGTAATGCTCGATAGTATGAGGTAAATAATAAAAGCTACTCATACCGTAAAAATAACTACGACCATCGTTAACCAGACCTGCATGAGTACACGCACAAAGCAGAGCAAGAAACGTATTCCCGTCAGGATTCAACCCACATTTTTGCACCAAACCGAAACAGCTAAACGCAGCTTTTACGTGACCGGTCATAGCTAATCCCGACATGACTGCATTAAATATTACAAGATCCTTTTTTTTCATCGCTTTGAAAACTTCCCATGCTAAAGCCATCTTCCCACATTTAGCGTACATGTCGAGTAACGCAGTCCCCATAACGGGATTTGAAAGAAAATCATTCATGTCCATCATTCGGCTTGCTTGTTCTCCAAGTTCCAAAGCTCCCAGCCTCGCGCATGCAGAAAGCACGCCGACAGTAACGTAGCAATCGGGTTTTAGATTCTGTTTCTGCATTTGACTGAAAATTTCTAAAGCCTCTTTCGGAAGACCGTTTGCTGCATAACCCTGTATGATAGCTCCCCAAGTAACAATATCCTTTTCGGGCATCTCGTCGAAGATAGAAAGAGCCTTCTCCATATCTCCACACTTGACGTACATATCAACTAAAGCTGTATTCACAAACACGTTTCTCCCCATTCCAATGTCAACAACATACTTATGAATCCAACCGCCAGCACTCGAATCGCCTAGATGACTACACGCAGATAAAGCACGAACTAAAGTATAGCTGTCGGGCACCAAACCCGTTTCCAAAGACTGTTTAAATAAATCAACCGCCTCTCTGAATTTCCCAACCCCAATATACCCACTCATCATCGCAGTCCAAGAAACCACATTCTTCTCAGGAATATCGTCGAACATCTTCCGTGCATCCACCAAATTCTCCACTTTTGCGTAGAACCCCAGCAGCCCTGTCTTCACAAATACATCACTGTCGGAACCCACTTTCACAACCAAAGAATGAACCTTCGCACCCAGCCCAAAGTCCCGATTCCTCGTGCAAGACTTGAGCACGAAAGGGAACGTGAAATTGTTCGGCAGAAGCCCCTCGCCGCGCATCGAGTGGAAGAAATCAATAGCTTTGTCGAAACAATCGTTCGAGACCAACCCACAAATCATAGTATTGTACAGAAAAATATTGGGTTCGTGGGTTTCGTTGAATACAGATGCGGCGTAGTCTGGGTGGTTGAAATGAAAGACGGATTTCAAGAGCATGTTCAGAAGGTAGGAGTTCTGATTGAGATGGAATCGGAATATGCGCGCGTGGATATGTTTGAGGTGGATGAAAGAAGTTGAGCACTGAGAAAAGAGAGCTGATTTAATCTCCTGCAACGCCGCCATGTAGGGAGGAATGTGATATGCTGTTGTGGCTTGGAAGAAAGATCGGCGGCACGGTGACGGCGGTGGTAGATTGCGACGCTGTGGCTGGAGTGATACTGGTGCATGCGTGGGTGGGCAGTGTGGTGGTGATTGTGAACGCGCCGCCGTCGATTAGGGACGGATGTAAAATCAGAACAAGAAGAATCGGAAGTTTGTCCGACTACGTATGCTGCTACATTTTCTGATAAATTAATTTAAGCGTTAAATACACTTTGCACCCTTAAAAAATAGCTTATGTAACACTTACCCCTTAAAGATTCATTTGTAACACTTATCCCTTCAACATTACATATTTTATATCTTAAAATTAAAACATAATAAACATAACAATCTAATAATTATTGGATCATAAAAATTGAAAAGTAACTAAAATTAAATTATTGGAAAAAAGTAATATATATTTTATAATACTGAATGAAAATATGTTTTAAGAAATTAATGAACTAAAATAAATTTAAATACTTAAGATCACTATTATTTATGTATTGATTTCTTAAAATTATCGATGGGAATAAATTACATTAATTGGTTCAATACCAATTAGATGTTACTAGTAATTGTACCCGTGCGATGCACGGGACAACAAATTGCATTGTTTTGATGTTGTAAGAATATAAACAAACGTTTGATGTATCGTATGATCAAAATTCTATTATACTGGAACATCATTAAGTATACTACACACAAAAAAAGGAAATAACTTTACTATTGAATAATTTTCCAAATGAATTGAATCAGCTAATACCAGTAGATTGAAAATTTGAACCAGGAAAAAAATCATCAACTATGTCTTTCATGTTGAGCTTAAAAGTAATTAGATTTAATAACTTAGTTAACATAATCAAAACTAAACTATCGACAACATAAAAGGCCATCTATACATCTTGCATCGGAACTAAGCCCTTCTCCACTGCCTCATTTTCAGGCTGTTTTGCCACTGGAATTAACAATTGGAAAATTAAGAAACAAAAATAAATATAAACAATAAATTAAATATCGCATACAAACAATAAGTCTTGAAGGTCGACTTCCAATAGCTTGTGGCTCCGCCCATTTTTGGTTAATTCTCTCAAATCATCCATTTCAATAACATGTCCAATAACATATAAAATGAAATAATTGTTATACATAAAATTTGAAAACTTTGGTATAAATTAATGAAACACATAATTTAACAAAATGAAATTACCTATAAGCCATGATGGAAAAAGATGTAAACTAATTGCCATACAGTCAATAGGATGAAGAAGATAAAAAACAAAATCTAAAGTCGGGTTACCAAAAGAAGAAGCCTTAGGTAGGGAAGAAATAAAATTCAAATGTTGCAGACATTATGTAAAACGATGTCACAAAATTCGCTAGGGATGAAAATCAGATTTATTTACCCTTTTCTGTAAAAATCGAAAATCAGATTATTATAAATAATATCTAGGAGAATTTGATGAAAATCGATAATAATATTTAAAATAATATTTAGGAGATATAAATTTGATAAAAAAATCAAAAAATAATATTTAGGAGATAAAAATCTGATAAAAATCGAAAATAAAATTTAAAATAATAGTTAGAAGATAAAAACTTGATAAAAATCGAAAATAATATTTCAAATAATGTTAATGAGATAAAAGTTGATAAAATACGAAAATAATAATTAGAATAATATTTAGGAGATAAAATATGATTAAAATCAAAATTATTATTTAAAATAATATTTAGGAGATAAAAATTTGATAAAAATCGAAAATAATGTTTAGGAGACAATAATCTGATAAAAAACAAAATTAATATTTAGGAGATAAAAAACTAATAAAAACGTGATAAAACTCGAAAAAAATATTTAAAATATTATTTAGGAGATATAACTTTGATAAAATTCGAAAATAATATTTAGGAGATAAAAATCTGCTAAAAGTTGAAAATTATATTTAAAATTATAGTTAGGAGATATAAAATTGATGAAATTAAAAAAATATTATTTATAATAATATTTAGGAGATAAAAATTTGATAAAAATAAAAAATAATATTTAAGAGACAAAAATCTGATAAACCTAAAAAATAATATTTAAAATAATATTTAGGGGATACAAATATGATAAAATTCGAAAATAATATTTAAAATAATATTAAGGAGATAAAAATTTGATAAAAATTGAAAAAAATTACAAATATGACATTAGGGTTTCTTAGGGTTGCCTAGCGTTTCTTTCTTTTATATATAAGATAAAAGTTGATAAAATAATAGTTAGAAGATAAAAACTTGATAAAAATCGAAAATAATATTTCAAATAATGTTAATGAGATAAAAGTTGATAAAATACGAAAATAATAATTAGAATAATATTTAGGAGATAAAATATGATTAAAATCAAAATTATTATTTAAAATAATATTTAGGAGATAAAAATTTGATAAAAATCGAAAATAATGTTTAGGAGACAATAATCTGATAAAAAACAAAATTAATATTTAGGAGATAAAAAACTAATAAAAACGTGATAAAACTCGAAAAAAATATTTAAAATATTATTTAGGAGATATAACTTTGATAAAATTCGAAAATAATATTTAGGAGATAAAAATCTGCTAAAAGTTGAAAATTATATTTAAAATTATAGTTAGGAGATATAAAATTGATGAAATTAAAAAAATATTATTTATAATAATATTTAGGAGATAAAAATTTGATAAAAATAAAAAATAATATTTAAGAGACAAAAATCTGATAAACCTAAAAAATAATATTTAAAATAATATTTAGGGGATACAAATATGATAAAATTCGAAAATAATATTTAAAATAATATTAAGGAGATAAAAATTTGATAAAAATTGAAAAAAATTACAAATATGACATTAGGGTTTCTTAGGGTTGCCTAGCGTTTCTTTCTTTTATATATAAGATTTATTAAATATGTATCCAAGGGTACAAGATAATATTTTTAAATTTTTAAATAATGCATTTTTCAACAAATATTTTTAGTTGTATGCTTTAATTATTCTTTTAGTTGTTATTTTAAATAAATAAAAAATTAATGTATTAGGATTTAAAATACAAATTGAATTGCATATTTGAGGGTAAGGATAACAAATGATACTTTAACAGGGTAAATATTACAAATGTTATAGATTGAGGATATAAACTGTATTTAACTTTTAATTTAATAATAAATTATTATAATAAAAATTAGTTTTTCTTATAGGGCAGCAGCCTCAATTAATAATATCAATTTTACCATGTTTTTTTTATTGTAAAACTCTCTCTCAAGAGTCTCAACTATATATTTTTCTTTTAAAGGAAAAAAACAAATCCCCTCAACTATATGCCGAAATGCCCCTGGATAAAAATGGTAGGGTAAATTACGGTCGCCTTTCTGTTTAAGTAATCTTTTTACATGTTCACTATTGTGGTTTCAGGTTTAGCGAAATCTTCTATATTATGTAAAATGTTATCTAGTTTATACTCATTTTACATCATTTGAACTCCACATTTTTTAAACAAGATGATCATAAAATCTGTCTATTGGCTTGTAAATATCAGATTGTATTTTATTTTGTTCACTATGTAGTTTCCAGATGATCGATAAATGTAATAATTTTCATTTGACATTTGGTATTCTAAAAAATACCACTAAAATATTAAATTACATTAAGTAGTTTAAAATTCCATTCGGGATGAGTTAGTATTTTAACGGTGCAAGGTGCTTTTATTTTTTTTAAGGGTATAAAGTACCAAAAAACTATATTCCAAGGGTGCAAAGTGAGATTAAGCCGTTTTTATTTTAACGAACTACACTATTGTCCAATTAATAATATTTAAAATTTGGTTAAGTAATTAGAGAATGATAATACTCATAATATTTCAAAACTAATTGAGCTCAAGTATATTAGACCAATTTAATAAATATTTCAAGACATTTAAAAACTTATTGTAACAGTATAATTATTGATTATTAATAATCATATGATGGTACAATTGGAATATTATATGATGAAGTTCATTAATAAACCCATAATACATAAGAGAGAAGAAAGAAGCTTTACATGGAGTAAAAGTCAATTACAATCTTGACCTCTTAAAAGATCTAGAGAACATATGGAATCAAAGCCTTGACATTCTTGGGGAAATTCTCAAACTTGGAAACATACCATTTTCTAGTAGCAAAGCTCCTCGGAATCAAATAAAAAGTCGATCCAACGGCGCACAAGTACATAAATAGCGTCTGCGAAATAAACGAGATCCCGATAAAAGTAATTATTTCAAATAGATAGTGAGGGCATATAACCAAACCAAAAAGACCTCCCGTTGGAATCTTGTACCCCTTGTCACTCTTGTTTCTAAGCTTCGATAGAAAGTAATGGTGATAGAAGTTTCCGCATATTCCAACCGTGAATAGTAAAACACCAATGTACTTGAGGTCGGTAGAAGGTTCCGGAAAGTTCCGAGTTTGGTGTTGAAAATAGAGGGTGCCTGCAGCCATTGTGAAGTAGGTGGCTGAAATAAAAACGGCACTTTCCAGAGCGACGAAGCCGCTGTACTTGTGGATAAACAAAGTCTGCAAAAGCTTATAAAAGATTATTAAAACAATGCAACTATAATTCAAAGAGTTAGGACAACCATACAATAGAAATTTTAACAAACCACATTAAACTCTCTTTTTGACAACACATATAGCATGTACCAATCAATGGAGAGGGGCACATGGCTATGGGGGCCAGGGGGCCAAGGCCCCCAAACAGTACTATCGAAGCAACGTCCAGATCAAGGCAACAATCTTTGTAATGTTTAACGGGGATCTCCACAAGCATTGCATGTTAAGCCCAAAAAGACTTACCTCCGTTGACCCAACTACTTCGATATCTCTTATACAAATTCGCAAGAACTTTTACTCAAGCGAGTGCTTAGTACTAGAGAAGTGCTAAGAAGCAAAAATTGGGAGTAATTTTTATTGTCATTTTGAAAAACGTAGAATCAAGCACAAGGAAATGTTTGGTGTCGATTATATGCGATTGATGCTAGAATTCGATAATGTTATAGCCTCAAGATCCACTCAAAACAAGCATAAATGAACCGAATCGAAGCCGGATTTGGTGTCACGATTTTCTCGACTACGGCAGTCGTATCGATCATTCCAAGAAACCCTTAACAATGTGAGATATACTCAATAATAAAATATATAGTCAAATATACTCAAATGAAAAATATACTTGTCTTGTTGAATCCAATAAACCTTCAAAAATCCCACATGAACAAAACATAGATACGTTTGGGATTTCTTTAAGGGAGCAGAAAAAACATATATAGTTGATTTCACTAATATAATACAAATTAGGGCAAATTACAGCCACCCCTGAGTTATGGTCAAATTACGAAAACGCCCCTCTTATTTGGGTAATTACAGCCACCCTATAAAAAATTTAGGGATGTTAAATCGGTAAAACCGAACCGAAATTTCGGTACGCCAACATTTCATACCGTTTACCGAATTGAATATACGATTTGGTTCGATAAATAACCGAATAACATAAACGATGTTAAATCGGTAAAACCGAACCGAAATTTCGGTACGCCAACATTTCATACTACCGAACCGAAATTTCGGTACGCCAATATTTCATACCGAACTGAATATAGGATTTGGTTCGATAAATAACCGAATTACATAAACTATTTAAAAGGAGGGCTTGGCTGTAATTACCCAATCAAACAAGAGAGTTTTTTTCATAATTTGGTCATACCTCAGGGTAGTCGTAATTTGCCCTAGAAATTTTAACTGGAAATTAAAGTTAAAATAAAAAAATTACCTCCAAGTCCCTTTTGAGAAAATGAATTGTGAGAGCTGATTTGAGCATCGGAAACCTGATCCCGCCGCCGCCATTAGGGAGGAGCGCAAATGAAGAGGCGGCGGCGAGCAAAGCTGGGGTGTATAAAATCAGCATTCCGATCTTACTCGAAAGCATAATTTGTAGCTTGGATTTGTTCGAAGAAGTGGAGTTCCAGAATTTGGAGTACTGAAGATGATTTCCGATTATTTCGGTGGTGCACAGAAAGAGTAGCCATAGAAGGGTTACCGCGTAGAAAGCTTGTTCGGAGAACGATGAGTGTTCTTCGTATACACAACCTCCCACAATTTCTCCGATCATCATCATCATCTCTCTCTCTCTCTCTCTACTCCCTTTCTCTCTCTTCCTCTCTCTAGCCGTTGTTGGAGCAATGTAGTTTAATTAGTGTCTTTAAATACTTCAATTAAAAAACTTTAAAAGAATTTTATATTGTGCACATCTATTGCATGTACCATATTAAAAATAATTAACAGTTAACAATAAAATCACTCGACTTTGTTTTCAACGTATTTAATTTTTGTTGGGTAAATTACAAACACCCCCTGAGGTATGGTCAAATTACAAAACTCCCCTCTTGTTTGGATAATTACATCTACCCCCTCAACTATGATTTTTTCTTAGACCTCCACCTTTATGGTGCCAAATTCAACATAGTCATCTAGATTCTGTGAAATGTGCTCTAGTTTGTACTCTTTTTGTGTAAAAAATACAGTTTCCGATGCACAACAAACTGATATATACAAGCTAAAAATCACATATTATGGTCATCTTGCTTCATAATGTAGAGTTTGAATGGGATAAAATGGGTACAAAAGTGATAATATTCCATATAATCTCGAAGATTCCACTAAATTTGATGAGTTGAGGGGGTGGTTGTAATTATCCAAACAAGAGGGGTGTTTTTGTAATTTACCCATTTTTTGTTTATTAATAAAGGAATCCGTATCTACTCGAAGTCCCTCTGGTCTGGTCTCGTCTCGTGTAATAACTTGTAAATCACATGAAACTAACTAAATTTAATTATGTGTGGTGAGCCTAACACATTAGAGTATATTAGGGTGGATCCAACATCCTTTCCCTTTATTAATCAAACCTCCATTAGTTGTTTCATTAAATAAAAATTTATTGAGCTACTACGCAATATACTTAATTTATCCTCATATGTCTATGTATCTATCGCGCTTTCTGTCATTTGATTTAGTTGTTTTACAGTTGTCTACAATGATAGACGAATACGTTAATACAATGTAAAACAATGGAGTGAATGGAGCGGAAGAGAGATAGAGATACATAAATGCATAACAAAGAAGAGAAACAAATGTGGAGAGAAACATGCATATAGATATTAAGTTTAGGGTAAAAGGACAATTAGAAATGTGGTTATATTATATTTTGAAATAGAAGTATATTTAAAAAAGGGTAAATTACGACCATCCCTGAGTTATTATCAAATTATGAAAACCGCTCTCATGTTTGAGTAATTACAATCACCCCTGAACTATGTATTATCTTACGAAAATACCCCTCAAGAGATAAATTTAGGGATGTTAAATCCGTAAAACCAAACCAAAATGTTCGGTACGTCAACATATCATACTGTTTACCAAACTGAATATACGATTTAGTTCGGTAAATAACCGAATTACATAAATTTTATTTAAAAATATTTAAAAGAAGAGGGCGGCTGTAAATACCCAAACAATAGAAGTTTTTTCGTAATTTAACCATACCTCAAAGGTGGCCGTAATTTGCCCTTACAAAAATAGTTTAAGGTTGTCATTTAATTCTAATTAGGTTTGCGGAAACCAAACAGACAAGTGAAGAAGTCTTGAGCTTGATAAATATAGGCAGTTCATTGTAATAAACATTAAAAAAAATAAAAAAATAAAAAAATAAAATAAATAAATAAAGAAGAAGAAAAAGCCCTGTGGTTTATTATATGAAACAAACACTATTATTTCTACAAGTTTATTCTGTGCCTTTTCTCATCGTACAACAATTAATATATAAAAGCAGAAAACTTGATTTTTCAATGAGCAGCTTCTACATCACAAGCAGTTACATTTCAATGTCATCGAGATCTGGCAGCGGAAAACGAAGAATCGCTGCTATACCAGTCAACTGCGCTAATTCTGCTCCTCGTAACATCAAAATTATACAAGTCAGCACAAATAATATTTTACTTTTCGAAAAAGAAAATTGAAAAAAATAAATAAATTGGAAAAAAGATCGATGGCAACAGGGATTTCTTTAGACCCGATTCTCAGGAAGAAAAATACTCTTAACGCCAGTTTCAAAGACTCAAAAATGCCGAGTCTCTGTATTCTTCTTATTTAATTTTATTTTAAATGAAGCTTTTTCGTTAAATAAAAGGGTGAAAAATAAAAGGAAGGAATATACTCACGTTCGCCTGAGACATGCATAGACGAGAAGATGTGGGCAGTGCCACCTGAAGACTTTACTGAATCGATCAAGTTTACGTACTTTTTCCTAGCTGCCACGTCAGCGCTCCTGACAAAATAAAATCTCCAATTAAAATCACGTTCTCCTTTTGGGTTCGTTTTTCACCGGAAAGGATGTGATTAGAACAAGGTGCTTTTTCTCCCATCAAGTACATAATGTAAATTAATTAAAGACAAATATCTCAAATTTGTTCTGCTTGTGGGACCCTCCGATTGTAAAATAACTAACCTGAATAGCTCGTCGGTAATGAGAAGTGTTTGGATAGCCATTCGATCATGGGCAAATTCAACGTGCTTCGATCCGTAGCATGCTCGAGTTGGATCCTAAACGAAACCACCAAGATACATTAAGGGCTTGTTTGGTTGCCACGATAGGATTAGTCAAGATAAGATATTTTGCAAGTAAAGTTGGATCAAGATTTCCGGGCCGGCCTCAAAACTAAATAAAACCCAATTATTTATTTAACTAATCGTGTCATATATATATCCAGTCAAACAAGACATAACATAAATAAACCACGTAAATTTCAATTTAACACATATATGAAGGGTGGAAACTGACATCAGAAAGCATGGCAAAGAAATCCTTGAGTGCTCGAACCTGCGTTAAAGAATAAGGAATTATAAGGTTTTGAAGAAAAATATACGAAAAATGGAAACCAAACAAAAAATATTCGAATCGAGAAAACGACCAAACTCGGAAAAAAATAAAGTGATGTTGGTAAAGTATTATGTACCTCTTGAGCAGCCTTTGTATCTTTAACCATGTTCATCACATTTGGAGCATCCAAAACCTCTCTCAAACTGTGCCTGTGTCATTTTTTAAAGATCTTAGCACACACACACACACACAGAGAGAGAGAGAGAGAGAGAGAGAGAGAGAGAGAGAGAGTACTTGTAACCCGAGGTACAATGGACAAGAACTATACGTGATTTATTCTCAATAATAGGTCTCAACTGTTTCCTTTCTGCCTCCAACAATAAGTGCTTGTGAAATTGTTCCTGAACATGTATGAGAATAATCTTAAACAACGTACTCATATTATATTATATTATTATTATTATTAATATTATTAATAATTTAGTTTTGACTTAAAAAATGAATCAGTAGAGAACACTTTGAACCAGAAACTAAAACTCTTTAAGATATTCTACATGATATGAAAATAACAGACCTTAGTAAATCCTGGACTTGCAATCACGGCACAACGTACAATGTTGAAATCAATATGTTTCAGAAACGCCTAAAACAAAAAAGCACAAAAACAATTCGTCACAATGATGAGTTCCGCAATTTTAGATGTAAACAAGACTACGACAAAGTGAAGCAAAAAAGTTTTTGAGTTTTTAGTCACCTGTACGACATTGTCGAAAAACTTATTCAAGGCCTGTCATATTTAACAAGAAAAGCAATTACATTACCAACAAAAAAACGAAAAAAAAGTCGGTAATTTGAATGAACATTCGTTAGAAATAACAAATATAGGAATTAAGAGAGTAATAAGCATACTTTATCATAGCCAGCAATAGAAGCTCCATGCTTGCGAGGTATCGAAGTCTCTATACGTGCACGAGTAGTCGTCACACTGTCGACACATTCGCACAATTTCATGTTAAAAAAAATTTAAAAGAAAAAGAAATGTGACAAATTAGACGACAACAATTTACAATGCTTTTTTTTCAATTCTTTATAAGGGGTCCTAATTAGATTTGCATTCCATTTCAAAACTAGTATATTAAAATGGATAGAAGTACCTTTTACCAACGAGCAAAATAGTGGCCAGGCCCTCTTGCATCAGAACGACAGCCAGGTCAGCACTTGCTTTCGGATCTATTACAAAAAAAAATCGAATAAACAAAATTTAGTTATTCGAATAACAAAATTTAATTACCCTATTTCCTTGGAGCTCTATAAAAATCCAATAGTACGATAAGCACGTTGTCGAAACAAGGAGCTCTATAAAAATCCAGTAAACATCGTACATAAAACTTCAATAGATTTGTTATACGTCTTACGTATAAATTATTTCAAATAACAAAAAAATCAAATAGTACGATAAGCACGTTGTCGAAGGTGATAATCTTTAATTTCTTACGTTCACCATAGTATATTGCACCGAGTTAGTTAACTGGTTATTTTGAGTAAAACAAACTTCCGTTATATTCGAGTTTTACTTCATTGCATTTGAGAAACAAAAGATGAAAGTAAATTACATATATATATATATATATATATATATATATATATATATATATATATATATATATATATATATTGAAAATGTATACCAGAGGATTGATGGAGCCCATCCAATGCCAACGAGTCCCATAAATCCTAGCAAACATGACAAGAAAATTTAAATAAGCCCGAGTATACCTTATTTGCTAAAACGTGACAAAAAAAAAAATTACCTTCCTTAACACAAAAGGGCGGTGGAGCTCGATTTCTAGAGTGTGAAATGCCCCTATCTGCACCATGAAAAATATAAAATTAATAGAAATCACCAAAGCATGATAATTAAGAGGAGAAGATCCGGTGGGCCCCACCTTAACATGTTCGTTCTCCAAAATGTTCTTCCCACGTATGCGTAACACAGATCCTTCTTGGTCATACTCAACAGCCTATAATTTCAAACAAGAATATTTAATAAGCAGACTACAAAATTATGCAATAAATTCGAATAGGGTTTGGAATTATGAAATTATCAAATGCTTCTATTCTATAACTTTCTTTTGCCGTCAGCTAAATATCTGGCAGCTTTTCAAACGTAATCTTGAATATGACATGCACGTAACTTAACTTTTTTAATTGACTGGTTGATTTAAAAAATGAGTTATCGGATTGGTTAACCCGTATACTCGTGTCTTAATTTCCACAAAAAACTGTTCAAGCTACAAATTTAGCAAGAAACACATAACCATGCTCGAATTATTCAAGAAACACAAATTCGGTTTAGCATTTGCAAACACTACCCTATGAATCTCACAACGACAAAATAAATACATACATATCAACCGGTCCAGCATTATTAGATAAATTGCAAACTGTAATTTAAATTAGTGGCTACTTATATAAATGCATTGCCTAAAGAACACTGAGATTAATTAACATATTACCTCAACTTTGATTTCTAGTTTCAGTTTCACTCTTTCTGCATCCCTTCCTCCCGAAGCAGCTTCTCTCAAAACCTTCCTACAGATAGAAAAAAAAAAAAAAAAAAAAAAAACCATTATCAACACAAACGTACATAATAAACATGCTATATCTGTGGTAACCGAACCAAACCAAAACCGAACCCAAACCCGAAACCGAACCGCCTATTTACTTGCGTGTACAATTTGCATTCAAGAAAACGCCAAATAACGGTATAATTACCAAAATATTTGAAGTCGACATCAAAATTCAATCCTGAACTCTGATACAAGCCAATAAAACACAATAGACATGCTATAGCTATGGTAACCGAACCAAACCGTAGCTGAAACCGAACCGAAACCCGAAACTGAACAACCTATTTACTTGCGTATACAATTTGCATTAAAAAGAAAAGGCCAAATAACGGTATAATTACCTAAATATTTGACATCGACATCAAAATCCAATCTCTAACTCTGATACAAGCCAATACAACACACAATAAACAAGAAATTAAAAAAAATAAAAAAAATATTACCTGACTGTAACAGCCATGACAGTGTCACCCTGAACAATCAAATTATAAGTAACCCACAAATCATCTGCTTCTTCTGGAATCATCTGCAGAAAAAAAATAAAAAAAACCCATAAATTAAAACAACTTAACACCCACAAAAAGAAACAATTAAAATTAAATCAAAACGAAAAAAAAAGAAGTAAAATTGTATTGAATTTTAGAAACAACTGAAAATACAAAAAAAAAAAAGGTTTCGAATTAAACCTTCACGCTTCCACGGCCGTCGTGATCGATGGCTCTACGAACAATCTTCATGTTTTATTTTTTTTCCCTTTGTTTCTGGTTCGATTTTTGTTTCCTTATTCTGAGTTGTGCTTCTGGAAGAAACGCGGAGCGGTGAGTTTAAGATTCTGAATAAGATTCCCTGGTTTTTGTAGCTGTGAAGCAACCTCCATAAAATGGGAAATTAAAGAAGGGTTTCACTCTGATTAGCAATTGGGATTGGATTGGGACCTGGGTAAATTAATTCGACAATTTCTTTACTCATTTTCTGTTATTAACCGAAGACTTAAAACGTGAAATACATGGAAAGTTTTTTGTGTTTCATATATTATTTGGGCAAATGGCAAAAAGGCCCATCACATGAGACTTAAATGCATTTTGGTCCACAAAAAAAACAGTCTCTCAATTAAGCACATCCCCATGTCTTTAGTCTAAAATACCCTCAATAATATAATTCTTATCAATTCCACCCATTATGATCTAACTTCCTTAATATTACACATTGACCCCGGATTTAAACAAATATATCACATTAACCCCCAAAACTTTTTTTTTTCAGAAAATAATTTTTTTTCTGAAATGTCCAGATTCCGGCGTTGATTTTTTTTTTTTTTTTTTTTTTTTTTGAAAACTGTTTTTTTCCTGAAATTTTTTCCGGTCGGTCAACCACCGTTGACCGCCGGTCTCCGGCGTTGACTTTTTTTTTTTCTTTTTTTTGATTTTTTTTTTCTTAGAAGAAAAAAATATTTTAATTAATATTACTGTTTTAGCTACTAAATTACTGTCTCAGACAGTAATATTACTGTTTGGGACAATAATATTATGAATATTATTTTTTCCGAACAATAATATTATGAATATTATTTTTCCGAACAGTAATATTATTAATATTATTGTCTAAGACAGTTAAATTAATGTTGAAGACAGTAATTTAGCATCTAAGGCAGTACTATTAATTAATTTTTTTTTTTAAGAAAACAAAGGAAAAAAGCCAATTAACAGTTAAATTATTGTCTCCGACAGTTAAATAACTGCTGGAGACAGTAATTTAGCAAACGAATACAGTAATATTAATTCAGAATATTCCTTTCAAGAATACAAAAGTCCATTAACAGTTAAATCACTGTCTCCAACAGTTAAATAACTGCTGGAGACAGTAATTTAGCAACGAATACCAGAATATTAGTTAAAATATTTTTGAAGAAAAAAAAAATCAATTAACAGCTAAATTACTGTCTCCGGCAGTTATTTAACTGCCGGAGACAGTAATTTAGCAGCCAAGACAGTAATATTAATTAAAAAAAATTAAGAAAAAACAAAATTATAAAAAAAAAAGTCAACGCCGGAATCTGGCCGGAAAAAAAAAACATTTCAGAAAAAAAAAAATTCAGAAAAAAAAAATTGGGGGTTAATGTGATATATTTGTTTAAATCCGGGGTCAATGTGTAATATTAAGGAAGTTAGAGCATAATTGGTGGAATTGATAAGAATTAGGGTTAAAATTGGGGTCAAAATTGAAATTAGGGTTAAAATTGGTTAATTGATGAAATTGGGCTAAATTGGGGTGTAAATCATGAAATTGGAGTTGAATTGGGTTTCAATGAATTATGGGTAATTTGGTATATATAAAATGATTTTCCTTATTTGCAAATAAGTTTGAATGGGGTGGATTTATTTGAAAGATAAAAAAGTTGGATGTCCCTCTTTTAATTAAGTGCCCTTGTCATGGGCCTATTTGCCATTACCCCATATTATTATTGGGTAAATTCTACTTTTTCCCCTTTACTTTGCTGCAATATCACTTTACCCCCTACCTCTATCGATTTGCTCCTTGTACTTGAAAAATTGTCTTAATGTGGCCCTCGTCGTTAGTTTACAGACTTTTGATCTTAACACCGTTAGATCTAAGTCTGAAAATTACAAAAAAGGCACCCCTAAAAAATTAAGAAAATAAAAAATAAATTGTGGCTGGCGTTGTGGACTATGTTTTCTCGTTGTCTTGAATGCATATTATTTTAAACAGCTTTTGTGGGAAATAAAAACTCTTAGGGCTCGTTCGATTATCTCTATCGGATTAGATTGAATTAGATGAGACTGGATTAATTATCTACAGACTAATTATTAGTTAGTTAGTAAAACATTCGGTTCATTGGATTCGATCTTGTATTAAATCTATTAAATTTTGGGATTATATGTGATTCGCCTATAAAACCCTTTATTATTTAATAAAATTATTAGTTTAATGGATAAAATTGTATTTTACTTGTTTTGTGAACCACTATAAAATTATTCTGGGGGAGATGTACTAATAATTTCATGAAATGATAGAATTTAATAGTGAACTTTGATTTTAGTAGCGGATTTAAAATTGTATGAATCTTGTCAACATAATGTGTTACTAATCCCTACTGTTTAGTTAGGCTTCATTTGGTTGGGGAGATAAACCATTATTAACTAAATATCCACTATAACTCCATTATAAACCATTATATCTTGCATTTTAAGCTATTTTTTTATTAGACCTTCCATATTCAATAATACAGTTGAGTTTTATTAGATTATTTAAAATCATCTTGACTAATCTTATATTGAGCAACTAAACGAGCCATTTAAAAATTTATAGAAGTAACCAAACGAGCCCTTAGACCTTGTTTGATTGTAGATAAGATTAAATAATCTACTGAAAATCCAATTATTTTATTGGACCCCGAAATTGTCTAACAAAACTCATGCCTAGAAGGCAAGATAAGCTATGATAACATAATACTTGCGGGTCGATACAACAAATTATTAGTGATACTAAACATCAAACAAAGTCCAATTATTTAGTTAATAATTATTAAGTTCTCCAATAATGAGACCTTATTGTATTATTTATTCATTTGAGGTATGCATCATCTACTATATTTTTTTAATAATAATATACTCTTTTAGATTTTGACAACATTCCTCCAAATTTTCCAAATTGTATCACCTTCTCTATTGGAGTAATGATTATAAGCTTTTTATTTATTTATTGGGGATTACATGTAAATACAAATATTTTAGTACTAATTTAGTATTCTTGTCATAATTTTATTGAATTGGTATAATTTTATTGAATTGGTGGTTGTAGATATTTAATATTATGGGTTCATTTGATATACACCCCTAGAATGAAAAATATATAGGAATAGGTCCACTCCTAAAATTCTTACTTTGAGATAATCCCCTAACACCAAAAAATTCGAAATTATTGCTACAACCATATACGGATTTCTAAATCAATTGAAAATCAAATAAACGCGCCCTCACTATCAGAGCCTACCAAATACCAATTGAAAATCAACTTCTCTCTGTAAAAAACGCAAACCCATCTTCTCGCTACGGAGATTCACCAGAAAAACCTCAACTGCTCAACTAAAATGAGGAAGGACTAGTCATCTTCGTCGACGAGAACCCAAACAACCATAAGTGTAGTCAACTTCTGCTCATAAATTTCATATACCATCAACAGTAGTTATCTTCCATCAATGGTGAAGAAGACACCGACAAAACGTAAGTTTATGGCTACATTACAATATACTTTGTTCCCCACCTCCGTTGGGACCTAATACGCCCTTCAAATATTTTTTTACAGGCCATCATAATCAAAAGGAACAAATCGTACAGAACGAAAACCTAGCAACATTTACTACCCTAAGCCAACCATTTCACTACTTCAAGTACACCACCAATTTGTAAAAAATCCGTAGTCATATATCCAATTTTGGTGTCTGGCTGTTGTTGCCATTAGTAGTACTTCGTAGTCATATTTTCATATGTGGTTACATTCATGCATGCCACAGATTTTGTGTTTTTTTGTGTATCGGTCTTGTTGCCATGAGTAGCACTTCGTAGTCATATTGTCATATGTGGTCACATTCATGCATGATGCAACATTTGTGATGTTTTTGTGTATGGGTATTGTTGTCATTGTTAGTACTGCATAGTCATATTGTCATATGTAGTCACATCATGCATGTTACAACATTTGTGTTGTTTTTGTGTGTGGGTGTTGTTGTCATTGGTAGTGCTGCATAGTCATATTGTCATATGTAGTCACATCCATCCTTTGCTGCAGCATTTGTGATTTTTTGTGTGTGGGTGTTGATGGGAATCGGGCACGCGTACGCAGCGGAAAATAAAAATTTTATGCGAATTAAACGAGTTTAAGTCACATAATCACATGCCCGACATATATTAAACAATTAATTGCATACCTTTGCGCTTCCAGCGAAGTTTAAAACCAAACATACTTGCGAATCATTTAATCGAAATTAAATCAACTAACATGCTCGCATTAAATCAAATAATCATGCTGGCAGTAAATAATGAATTTCATGTAATCACATAATATACATAAAATCATACAACATACTTACTAGACGAACATGCATATTTAATTTAAATAAAAACGAATCGCATAAATACGGATTCGAATCTTTACCTCTTGAAGCGTGAGGTAGGCGCACGATTCGAAGCAAGATTGCAACGGAAACCAATCTGTGCAATCCGGGAGCAGCGACGGTGGCGTGAGCAGTGACGGCGACGGCGCGAACGGCGGTGGCGACGGCGTAGGGCAGCTCCTCGATTCTTCGATCTTTCTCCTCTCGGATTTCACCTCGTATACTTCGATCTACTAAAACGTGGCACTAAACACGCAGTAGTTAGAATAAACGGAAAGAATAAACAAAGAAAAGAACTACCACGATTAATCGGCCAAAGGAGGCCGATTTCCGGTGAGTGGACGGGGGCCGCGGGGAGAGTTCGGCCGAGAGAGAGAGGGAACGGCTAGGGTTTCGTGATTAGGGTTGTGTTCAAGTCTTGTATTTTTTGTGCAAGAACTATAAATCAAGTATTTATAGTGTCTTGCATAAAAGCCCTAACAGGCTTAAGTTGGATCGGGCCTAACAACTTAAGTTCGTTAGTTCTTTTACTCGCTCGTCTCTCTCAATTTAATGATCGAAAAATTGTAACAATTACATTTTCTGAAACATTATAATGTCCTCGTCATGACGAGTGCCAATTCTCAATTTCCAACTTTCTAAAAGTGGAAACTCTAATTTAGTGTGCTTTCTAAATTTAGAAACTTCCCGATTTAGAAAGTCAACTAAGATGTTCGCCTATTCTTTTCCTTTTCTTATTCGCATTCATAATTTCAAATTACGAATGTTGGACCCAATCATATTGACTTCTAATCATGCAAAGATAAAACATTTTCATCTCTGACCGTTCATTCAAAGATCTCATATGCACGAGCAGTGTAAGCTAGCCGTGGGCCC